CTGTCCCCTCACTGTCCTCCCTTAGTAGTCCCTAAATCAGTCACCAAATCAATTAGGGGAGACCAGAGAAGCCATCTATTCCAACATGTACCAATATAAGAAACCCTTTAATTATCCCTGTTACCCTCTCCTTGTCCCCCTCCCCTTTCTCTCCTCCCCCAGTAGTCTAGCAGTCACTAAATCAATGAAGACAGATCTCAGAGGCCTTCTAGTCCAACCCATACGTGAACATCAGTCTCCTCTAAATTATCCCTGTCTTCTCTCACTGCCCTCTTCCTGGTCCTTACTTGTCTCCCTCATTAGAATTTCCACCATTTTCCCCATCATCCCACTTTTCGTCTCCATTGACTGTCTCTACCCACATTGTCCCCACTACTCTCATCCCTCCCTCTCCCTCCATTACTGCCTCCTCCACTGTTCCCCTTTCATTGTTGCCACAACTCTCTCCTCACTTCTCTCCACTGGCTCCCTCTCTCTCCCCCCTCACCGTCTATCTTCTACTGTCTCCCATTATTGTTGTCTTCACTATTTCCCCATTATCCCCTTTTTTCTTGTCATGTTCTCCACTCCCACTGTCGCCTTCATTTTCTGTCCCTTCAGTATTCCCCATTCCTGTTCTCCCTCTCCTAGTAACCCCATCCTCTCTTCCCTTGCCCCCATCTCTTACTTTCCCCTTCTGCTTCCCCTCCCAACTCTCACTCTCCCCTTACCCCTACTTACTCCTTACTCTATCACTTTGACTCTTCGTCAACTCTTCCCTCTTACTCTCCCTGTCCTCCTTCCTTACCCTTCCCCCCAAAGTGATTCAGCCCCCTCTCCTAGCCCTGTTACTCTTCCCTCTCTCTCCCCCAGCTTTCCCCTTACTCTTTCCCTCCCTCCCTCTCACTTTCTCCTCTTCCCTGTTTCTTTCACATTCTCCCTACCCTCTCTTCCCCTGACCTATCCCCTTTTTCTTTCCCAACTCCTCTTCCTCATCACTACTTCTCTTTTTAGGACCCCTCAGTCTCTCTGACCTCTCCGTCACTTCAATCCTTGCTTTGTTATTCTTGTTCACTTCTTTCCCCATTTTCTCCTGCCTCTGCCCTCCCATGATTCTCCCACCTCTTTAATTTTCTCCTTTACTTTTTTTTTTCACTCCACCCTCTTTTTCCTCTACTCCACTGCCCCCCTGGTCTCTTCTAAGTCCTATGATCGAGTGAGTCCTATTCCCTGCCCTGTCTGTCTGCCTCTCCCCTCCCCCACTTCCTGTAAATATGGTCTTAGGGTAAGAAGGATTCTTCCCCTTGTCTCTCCTAGAATGCGTGCTGCAGGCCTTTGCACGGCTTCACTGGCCTCAGTGGGCTTCCTCCGCTTCCTGGGACTGCCCTGGTCTTGGGGTCTGGCAGCTGCTCTGAGTATCTATGTGGGCACCGGCGGTTGGCGTTTCCTGCGCATTATTTTCAAGACAGCACTAAGGGACCTTTTGTAAGTGAGGGATATATGGGGTGCCAAAGGGCTATGTGAGAAGGAATGGGGATGCTGAGGCAGGGCTATGAGGGAAGCTGATGGTAGTGATGGGGGGATGGTGTTATGATAGCTTTTGATGTAAACGTGGTTCCATGGCCTTGGCATAGTGGGAACAGTTCATACAACTTGTTCTGTTAGAATCTATCACACTTCTGTCTCCCCCTACACAATACAGGAGCCTAATCTGACTCAGCAAGGAGTCGATAACATTGGGTGAAGTATGCAGGGTTTGCTTTGTCTCCCATATCTTCCTGGGGACTCTGCGGCGTTTTCAAAATGGAGTCTGCCCTTGGAAGAAGAGATGAGGAGGGTGAAACATGTCTGGGGCTGCGCCAGTAAGCAAGAGAAAGGTCCCTTTATCCACTGCAAAGCAGTGTAGGCAGTCTCCCTGAGAGTCTGATGCTAGCAGACTGGTTCCCTTCCGATGGGAGTGATGTTCGAGGGCCTCTGAGTTCTGAAGAGTCTTGTTCCCTCTGGAGTGAGGTGAAAGGGCAGTCCGAAGTGGGGACAAGAAGGCAGGGTAAGCTGGACTCTCAGGCTTAACATGAGCTGACTCTGATGCCACATGCATCGTCCACGGTTAAAACTCACCCCCAGGCTCCCATTGGCAGCTCTACCCTACGGTCACTCCCTTGAGCTGCAAGGGGGAGTGGGAGGAGAGGGACAAAAGGTATGATCAGTGAAGATGGAGAAGGCAGGAGAAAGAAGTACTGGGCTAGAGATTCTGTATCTTGCCCTGAAGAACAAGGTGCCCTGATTCCATAAGTTATGACTATTCCTGCAAGTCACCTACCGCCGCCCCGTCCTGTCATGAACTAGCAATCACTCCGCTGTGTGTCTCCACCTATCACCCTCCTGGGCCCTCTACTTCCTCTGTCCATTCAGGGATGCTTGGCCTGGGGCTGGAATGAAGGAAGAAAGAGGATCAGGGTAGAGCTCTGGAGAGAGGGGGAGTGGTGTCAGGACAGAGCTTGGTAGGGGGAGGAAGAGAGGTGATGGCAGGGCAGAGCTTGGGAAGGGAAGGTAGTGATAGGGTAGTGGGGAAGGATGAGAAGAGAGTGAACAGAGTGAGAGGGGGGCTAGTGCCAGGGCAGAGCTGAATCTGGGGTGAGGGGAGGCAATGCAGGGGAGATTCCTTAGGTCTCCCAAAATAGCTGAGCCCTCTGAGTCCTCATGTTACAAGCCCAGAGTATCTTTATTTTTTCAGGGCCTTTAAAACTTGATTCTCCCTCATCAAATATTTAGCCAGTTTTTGGTTCCCCGTGGTCCACCCCTACTCCACCCCATACATGACTTTGGGCACTTCTACCATCTTCTTTCCAGCCCTCATTTTTCTCAGGCCCTCCTTGGCATGATCTCCCAGATTCCCTTTTCAATCCCTCCTGTAGTTAGTTCTCCTTTGCCCTTCCCCTCATCCTCATAGTCACAGTATTACTTAATTCAATCACTAAGCAGGAAACCTTGATCTGGTTCATGTTTTCTACTAACATTGAGGGAAGTGGGAATGTATGTTCTTCATGACTCAGAGAGAAAGAGAAGGGTACACAATGACCATTTAAAATAAGAATTTAACTCAAAATCTTATAAAAGCAAATGTTGAGAACTATCTTTACATGTAATTAGAAAAAATAAAATAATATTAAGTGGGGAAAAATAAAAGGAAAAAGAAATAAAATCTGAATTTGCCAACATAACTTTGCAGATTGTCTTCAAACTACCTCAGAAAACTGCGTGATGATTTGGTGGTTGTGTTTATTGAAGCTCAATAATATGGATTCCCCTGCGGAACAGGTTAATCCTGTATTTGGGGATGTGTCTAACAGGATAGTACATATCCCCAACCTAACAAGCATTTACATTCTTTGGTTTAACTTGACACACCATTATTCAGTCCTCGGAAATCTGTCCCTCAAGTGTTCTAGAATATTTGGGTCAAAAAGATGCCTCTTTCCTATTCCTTCTCCTTCCTTCCTGCATTTATCTCTACCTTCCTTCTCCTCGGTCAGTTCTATTTCATCCCCTACCATTTAAGTCACAATGGCTTTTCTTGAAAGAGTTCAGGACTTCACAATATACATATCCTCACAGACAATCAGGAGAGGTGAATGAACCTGTTAGCTCTCATCTTCCTGTACCATAGCCAGTAAGCCTGTTTTCTCTGGAGAACCAGAACTAAGTATCTCTTAGTTTAACTGCATCTTCTGGACCGACTGGGTTCTGACTCTTACAAGAGAAGACATCTTCTTTAATCATGCTAAGTAAACTATAAGGGAGCCTTGACAAGTCCCAGTAGATTAGTCCTCAAGGCCTGGGGTGGCCTCTTTGTAAGACTCTTCTATGAGATTTATGTGAGCATGCTACGTGGAGTTGTATGTAATTAGAAATTATATTATGAAGCTTTCTTTGAGCTAAAAGATCTCCCTATGGAATTAGGAATATAATTGCTAATTAGGTACTACTTAACTACACAGCTAATTATATATCTTATATTGAAACCATTTTTGTATTTTCATACTAAAACATTTTAATCAAAACATGAAATATGATGTAAACATTTTAAATTTGATCTATTTACCAAAAACTTGTTCAGTGGGTCAATCCGTATGTATTTATTAAGTCCCTTCTATACGAGTACTGTGTTCAGTAGTGGGGATACCGTAACAAAGTTGAGACAATCCCTGCCTTCAAGGAATTTGCATTCTACTGGGTTATTATTGTTCCTTTTCCTTTTTACTTGCCTCATTGCTCCCACAAGATAGGTCACTGCCCCCTTCATTATCCAGAGGGAGACACTGAGGCGGAGGCTGCTCCAAAGTCACATGGTACATGTATGGTGCAGTGACCCTGTGACTATTACCCTGCCTTGCCGTGCTCCTCCAAAAAAGCATTATTGTTTCTTTTTGGGTGAAGCAATGCACCAGGGCTACGTGGAGCATAGGAGTGGCTGCTGCTATGGCTGCTTTCACAGGCTCTGCCTGATCTCTTTTCTTCCGTGCTGCAGTGGCCTCTCCGTACTATGCAGTGTCCGCTATGAGCTCCGTCGGCACCAGCAGGCCAGGCACACGATTCCCTGCATCTTCCAGGAGGTGGCCAACCGACAGCCGCAAAAGGTGGCCCTAGTAGATGCAGTCAGCGGAAAACAGTGGACGTTCCAGCAACTGGATGAGTACTCCAATGCAGTGGCCAACCTGTTCCTGCAGCTTGGCTTTGGGTCTGGCGATGTGGTTGCCATGTTCCTGGAGGGCCGGCCTGAGTTTGTGGGACTGTGGCTTGGACTTGCCAAGGCAGGAGTGGAGGCTGCCTTGCTCAATGTGAACCTGCGGTTGGAGCCCCTTACGTTCTGCCTCAGCACTTCAGGGGCCAAGGCCCTGATCTTTGGGGGGGAGCTAGCAGCTGGTGAGGCTGGGGGTGGTACAGGGGGTCAGGCCCCACAGTATCAAGGCAAAGGTTACTTTTTTTTTGTCTGGGGGAGGACTTTTGGAGGTAGGAGGAGGGAGAGCATGGCTCAAAATGGTAAATGACTGGTGGGATCTGGGGGCCAATAGAGTCTTAGGGGAGGAAAGCTAGCTAGACTGGACTGATCAACTCTGGCTTTTGAAAAGTGTTCCCTGACTATTTAGGCGAGGAAAGGTATGGCCTTGTGCTTAGGAGAAAAGAATATTACATGCATGTCCAGGTATGTCTGTAGCCTGAGGCTGACAATCATGTTGGTAAGCTCGCACTTGTAGGTATGTCAGTGGGCTGGGTCTGACAAGCATGTCTATGGGTTGGAGCTGAAACATGTCTGTTGACTGAGGTTAACAGATATATCAGTGAACTGAGGAGTATGTGTATGAACTAGTGCTTTCAGGTGTCCTGGGGCCAAGAGGCATGACTTCAGGCTAAGGTTAATAGGCATGTCTATAGACCAGAGGTACCCATGTGTCTTTAGGTTGGGGCTAATAGGCATACCATTCATGTGTTCCAGCTATTTCAGAAGTGAGTGTACAGTTGGGGAAAAACCTAGTGAAGTTCTGCTCTGGGGACTTTGGACCAGAAGGTGTCACCCCTGATACTCACCTTCTTGATCCTATGCTGAGTGAGGCGTCCACAGCACCCCTTTTGCAAGTGCCTCCTAAAGGAATGGATGGTGAGTCGGGTTTTGGGGTTCCCCCTTGAGATAGTTCCTGCCAGTACCTCTAATTTTGGTCAAGTCCTGTTTGCCTTTTCCCTCTCCCTGCCCTTTCCATCCCCATAGCCCTATCTCCACCAACAAATCCCACAGAGCTCTTGGCTCCCCCACCCCTGATGCTTCCCTTTCCTTCCAGACCGTCTCTTCTACATCTACACTTCTGGCACTACCGGGATGCCCAAAGCTGCAATTGTAGTAAACAGCAGGTAGGACCGAAAGCTGGGGAAGGGTCTGAGGATACTTGCTTCCTCAACTGTGGTTTTCCCCTTGTGTTTTCCAGCCTTAAAACCTTGCCACCCTCCTAACTTATCAGCTCTACTTCCTTGCCCCTGTCCTTGCCCCAGTCTCAACTTGGCCCCTTCCACACAATCCTTAACCTCAATCCTGCCCTCTCCCTACCTCCTCCAGCCCCAGCTCTTTTTCCACACCTTATCCATCTTGGTTTCAGCCCTGCCACCACTTCGTGTGTCTCAAGCACGAGTCTCACCCCTTCTCCACACCTCTTCCTGCCGAAGTCTTCTTTCCCATGTAGCCCCTCCAGCCTCACTTCTCTTCTCTTACCCAGATACTATCGAATTGCAGCCTTTGGACACCATGCCTACAGAATGAAACCCTCAGATGTAATTTACAGTTGTCTCCCTCTGTACCACTCTGCAGGTACTTAAGGCAGTGGGGTTCAGCAACTAATGATGTAGAATGGACCTTGGGAAGGGAGTGAATGGGTGGATCTGATGAGGCTTTTAAGGCTAATCCTAGTCTCTCTGCAGGGAACATCATGGGGGTGGGGCAGTGCCTTCTCTATGGGCTCACAGTCGTCATCAGGAAGAAGTTCTCTGCCAGCCGCTTCTGGGATGACTGCATCAAGTACAACTGCACGGTCAGGGCCTCTCCCCCCCCCACCCCCCGCCCAAAGATGCTGGTGCCCCCACTGTATTTTTGTCCCCAACCAGCTCTTCCTACCATGTCAGTTTCCCCCCCCACACCACCTCACTTGACCGTTTCCTCCCATGTCGCTTCCTTCTCTCTTCTCCCCACATGGCTACTACCACCTCATCCCTTCCCTGCTTTATCTATGCTTCCTTATAAGCATTTGGGATTACCTACTGGCACTGACACCTAGGGACACTGTGCGGTCCTAGGTTGGACTTTTTCATTTGGCTCAAGATTAGTCTGCATGCTTCTCTCTCAGTTACCATACCTGCTACTGCTGACCAGCCAGGATTTCTCTCCTGAATGGCAATGAGGTTTCTCAGCTTTTCCCTTCCTCTCCCCTCAAGCAACCCTTTTAAGGATTTTTAAGGGTTTTCATTTGTAGTGCCTACAGGAAAACAGACAGTGGGTAGAAATAATAAACATAAGGAAGGTCCCTCTACTAAAGCTCTCCTCCAGTGTCTCATCACAGCATGGAAGTGGTCCTGGGTTTCTGAAGGCTTTGCCAATGGAACATAAACTCTGGCTTTTTCTTTCAGTCATTTTTAGTCTTGTCCAACTCTTCATGACCTCATTTGGGGTTTTCTTGGCAAAGATACTGGAGTGGTTTTCCATTTCCTTCTCCAGCTCATTTTACAGATGAGGAAACTGAGGTAAACAGGGTTAAGTGACTTGTCTAGGGTCACATAGCTAGTAAGTGTCTGAGGCCAGACTGGAACTCAGGAAGAGGAGTGTTGCTGACTTCAGGTCCAGTGCGCTATCCACTGTGTCTCCTAGCTGCCTTTAAGTTCTGGCAGGTCTTACCAAGTTGGAAAGGCATTGAGGCCTGATGACTTGGTGTTTCTGCCAAGCCAAAAGACTGGTCACCAGGTTATGAATGGTTTTAGCCACAGAAAGTGGAAGATTATCTGCTAAGGTACAGAGGGAGGGGTTGTAGCCTATGCGGCAGAGGGAGTGCTCACAGGAAGGAAGTCACAGACCCTAGAAGTATTAAAACAGGTGTGAAGAGAGTTAAGAGAAATCTTCAAGATCTCCCAATAAATGTCCCCAGTGTTGGTATTGGCTTCTCTCTTGGCTTCTTCACCAACTATTCCTTTGTTTCCCCAGGCTAGTGGAGATTTTAGCAGACCATTAACTCAGTGTGATAATTCATTGGAATAATCTTGCAACCAAAAAGGCTAATGTCATAGTAGACTTTGTTAAAAGAAGGGCAGTGTACGGGACTGTGGAGGTGGTGATCCTAAGATGATATTTGTAAAGCTCTTAGCATAGTACCTAGTACACAGTAGGTGCTTAATCAATGCTTGTTCATTTCCCCTTCCCCTTCCTGTTCCGCTCTGATCAGATTACAGCCAGAAGGCTGAGTTCAATGCCACATTTTAGGAAGGACATTTGTGAGCAATAGGACAGCCAGGTTGGTGAAGGGCCATGAGATTGTGCCAAATGAGGATAGGTTGCCTGATGAAATTGGAGATGTTTGGCTCAGGGGAGAGAAGATTTAGATGGAGCCTTGCTAGCTCTCTTCAGACATTTGAAAAGCTATCCTGTGGCAGAGGTATTAGGTTAGTTCTGCTTAGGGAAATAGGCAGAAGCTGCAGAGGTGAAACAAGTTCCTAACAATTAGAGATGTCCCAAAGAGGAATGGCCTGCGTCTCACTCACTAGAGGTCTCAGGTAGGTAAAGGTTGGGGGATCATGTGTCATGTTCTTGGTCAGGTATGGATGGTTGCACTAGATGGCGTCTGAGGCCTCTTCCAACCCCTAGGCTCTGTGACTACTCTCCTGGGTCACCCTTCCTTTAATCAATATGACCTCCTCATTTTATAGAGATAACAAATTGAGGTTCAGAGGTTTGAAGTCATTTGTACACTTAACTAGCAAGTGGCAGACCCAAGGTTTGAACCCAGACTTCCTGATAACAAATCTAGAACCCTTTCTACCCCACTCCACTACTATCTCAGAAGGAATAGAAGCTGGGAGACCACGCACAGTTAGAGTGGACAGTTAGGGCAAGGCCTGACTAACCCGTCCTTCAAACACTTTCACAGGCCATCTCAGAAGCTAGCTGAAAAGTAGTAATACACTCCATTCTGGGAGTGGGAAGGTCGAGAGTCTGTTTTTTGAAGGTCAAACAGTTAAAATGTTCCTTTGTCTTCAGTTGCTAGTCTACAAATATTGTATGTGCATACTTATGGCCTTCTCCTAAGTATGTTGTTGAGTATGACTGTAACGAATCACTTCCTAACAAGCAGAAATCAAAAGGTCCCTCACAGAGCATGTTATAAACAGGATTCATATTTTTGGTAAGGGTTGGATCTCTGAGGTCCTTTTTAGCTCTGAGATTCTCTAGGTCTCCATTTTGTGTTTTCTCCTTCCTTCTGTCTTGTCACTAACCCTGGTAGCATAAAATAGAGGTGTCAGTGCTGGACCTTTGCCTTCACAGATAATTGAAGTGGGATAAAGCAAATGTCATACTGTTTCCATCCCCACATCTTCTTACTAGGAAAGTCAAGTTAGATTAGTTCCCTGGTACCATATCACCACCACATGTATCTCCCACCTCCTCATGTCATGCTGAATTAATGTAATTTGCATGTAGGTTTGTTAGGTTGGTAGATAATCATGTTTCTTTATCTCATTAAAGCATTTGAAGGGATTGCTGTATTAGATGGGAGGTTAAATTAGAGGATTTCTAGGGTCTCTTCCAATACTAAGACTATGAAAAATCTCATATTCTTGTGGATGTAATCATGATAGGTAGGTTAGATAATAGGATAGTCAAGTGGATTCACAGCTGGCTGAACAACCATCTCAGTAGTGGACAGTTGCCTAATCATTCCTTGTCAACAATGAGGTATCTAGTAACATGCCACGTCCTTTTTGATATTTTGTATTTGTATCTATTTCAAAAACTATTCCTTTTCTATAGTTATAGAAACAACTTAGATGAAGATACAGAAAGCATGTTTATCAGATTTATAGAAAACATAAAACTAGGAGGGATAGCTAACTTAATAGGTGAAAATTAAAATTTAAAGTGATCTTAACAAGTGAAAAAGTGAGGCCAAATCCATAAAGAAGTTTCACAGAGATAAATGTAAAATCCTGAATTTAGATTAAAAAATCCTATACATCTGCATATGTATAGGATTTGGAAGGTATGATTTGGCAGCAGTTCAGATTTTTTAAAAAACTGGGAGTTTCAGTTTATCACAAACATTTTGAGCCAACAATGTGGTCTGACTAGCAAAAAAGCAGCTGCAGTCTTGGAGTAGATTAATAGATATAGAGTCTCTAGACCAGAGGCTCTTAATCTGGGCTCAGTGAACTTTTAAAAAATATATTTTGATAAGTATATTTCAATATAACTAGTTTTCTTTGTAAGTATTTTATCTATTTAAAAATATTATTTTGAGAATAGGTCCATATGCTTCACTAGACTTCCAAGACACTCTATACCAAGGGAGATGAAATTGTATTCTTCAAAGGTCACACTATGCCTGAAGTATATGTTCAATTCTGGACACCACATTTTAAGAGGAATTTTGACAAATTCTTCCACAAAAGTCTTCTTGGGTTCTCAAAGGCTATACCAGTAGAGCACAAGCTCTGGTATGTTTTACCAGTCAGTCTGTCAGCCAGCTTTCATGTTTAGTACCCAGCAAGAGCTTGTATCTGCTATGCAAGGACCAGGCTAGCCAAATACAGAGAGGCTCATTATCAGAGGGTTGGATACCAGATAGGAGTTTTTTTAGCCATTGCAACTCATGAAACAAATAAAAATACAAAATGTCCTTCAGTCCTGGATAGCCCCCTTCTGCTTTATCGGTCAGTGATAGAAAGGGGGCAAAGGATGCTAAGAATCCCAGTTCTTGGATTGTCTACAAACATTAGTTTACTTGTTGGATATTTTCACTGGAGTTCTACATTCCAGTGACCAAGCTGGCATACTACTTGAGCAACTGAGCCATATCCCTATTAACATAAATGATGGACACTTTGATGGATATGTGATCTCTTTGTTGTGAGTACTTCCTCTAGTGATGCAGAGCGAAACCCAGTCCAATCCAATAAGAATTTTTTTTGCTTTTTTTTTGGTGAGGCAATCGGGGTTAAGTGACTTGCCCAACGTCACACAGCTAGTAAGTGTCAAATGTCGGAGGCTGGATTTGAACTCAGGTCCTCCTGATTCCAACGCCGGAGCTCTATCCACTGCACCTCCTAATTGCCCCCAATAAGAATTTCTTAACCTACTAAATACAAGCTTCCCATCCTGCATATCTCATGTAAGTCTACCACAGGGCATCCATATAACATGCTGAAGGCCTCTGCCCATAGTTCTTGACATTGCATGGCTATCCATGGAGCACACAGGCTGCCACCAGCTTTCCCTTGCTTTCACTCTGACTGGCCCATCTCTTTTTTGGTAATGTTTTTCTGTGATGACATCCTTTGCTCCCCAGTTCCTCAGTTTCAGTGAGCTGAAGCCTACTCACATCCACCACATACCTCTTAGCTGCCCTTTGGATGAGTTTTAATTGCAAGTCTTCAGACACTGTGGTATTCCATGATTCACAGCCATATCACTGGCACATTAGCATTAAAAAAATGCCAGAAAATTATACCAGAAGACATAAAGATGCAGCTAAATGGAAAATTCACAGGTTCTCCTTGGAGAGGGAGATGAAGGAGTTGGCATAGCTGGATTCCTCATGCAACTAAAATCAACAAGGAACATAACTTCATGGGATAGGTTGGAGTTGTTACAATGAATTAAGAAAACATCCCCATGAAGATAATTATAACTTATGCTCCAACGTTTATTGCAGATGATAAAGTAATACAGAACTTTATGAAGAACTTGACAGTATTCTCCAAATTAAGTATACATGTACTTTGATTTAATATAATGGATGACTTCAATGCAAAGGTAGACATAGCAGAGGTTGGCAAAAAAAAATTGTTGAAAATATAGTTTAGGGGCAGCTAGGTGGTACAGTGGATAGAGCACCGGCCTTGGATTCAGGAGGACCTGAGTTCAAATCTGGTCTCAGATACATAACACTTACTAGCTGTGTGACTCTGGGCAAGTCACTTAACCCCATTGCCTAGCCAAAAAAAAAATATATATATATATATATATATATAGTTTGAGATTGAGAAATGAAATAGGACAAAGACTTTAGGATACTCAGAAGGCTTATACCTCAGATTCATGATTTTTTTTAGATGAGCTGGAAGGTTCTGTATATAATCAGGATTGATGAACATCATAATACTTAAAGAAAGAATGAATTGATGATCTTTTGAAATGGGTGATGACTGGTTCCTAATGTGGGCATCATTTCAGAAGTGGCTGTCTTTGTACAGTCAGATCAGCTGGTTAGAGCAAAGGTCAAAAATCAATCCTGACTTGGCTACTTACTTGTGTGATCTGTCAGCTCAGTATGAAGAACTGCTGCTTAACAACTCAAATGTAGACAAAGAAACAGGATGCATTTTAGATAACGAACTCCCAGGCATTAGAAATAGTCAAATGGAGGCTTAATGGCCCTCTTTAGTCGATGATCTCTAAGGATCCTACCAACCCTGTTCTTCTCTAACTATGTCTGTTTCCCCTAGTGTTTGCTTCCCCTCCCTCCATATTTAATGCCTCTAACACATTTGTTCTTGACATATCTCTAGTGCCACCTCATCCATGCCCTCTGCTATGTGTATCTCCCAGTGATATCTCTCTCCTGCCACAATAATTTTACTCATGTCCTTTCTTTCCTCCTGTCAGGTGGTTCAGTACATTGGTGAAGTCTGCCGTTACCTTCTGAAGCAGCCTGTGCGGCCTGCAGAGAACCAGCACCATGTGCGCCTTGCTGTGGGCAATGGACTCAGGCCTGCCATCTGGGAGGAGTTCACCTGCCGTTTTGGTGTCCAGCAGATTGGAGAATTCTATGGTGCAACTGAATGCAACTGCAGCATTGCTAACCTAGATGGAAAGGTGGGGAGGGCAAGTAGGAGCTAGGGGAGGCAGATGAGAGCTGAGGTGGGGAGGGGAGGGGGTGGCACTGCTGGGCGTGACCATAGAGGATGTGGGGGATCAGAGAGAGCTATAGATGAGAACTTCTGAACTCCACAGGGTGATCAAATATAACTATGGCATGAAAGATGAGTGGCAATGCCTATGGTTCCTCACTCAGCTTGAGACCTTACATTTTCTCTCCCCTTCCACCTGGCCTAGGTGGGAGCATGTGGCTTCAATAGCCGGATCCTGCCCAATGTGTACCCAATCCGCTTAGTGAAGGTGAATGAGGATACAATGGAGTTGCTGAGGGATGCCCAGGGGCTCTGCATTCCCTGCCAGCCTGGTGAGGGGGAAGGGGGCAGTATCTACTCTAGCATCCAATTAAGCTCCCAAGTACTAACTAGATCATCTCCACTTGCTAGAAATCTCAGATCCATCCTGTGACTGACATATCTACTTCTGATCCCTAGGAGAGCCTGGCCTTCTGGTTGGGCAGATTAATCAGCAAGACCCACTTCGCCGGTTTGATGGGTATGTCAATGAGAGTGCAACCAACAAGAAGATAGCATATAATGTGTTCCGGAAGGGAGACAGTGCCTACCTCTCAGGTACTGCCAAACCTCATCTTATCACTGAGGTACCCCTCAAACCCCATTTACTTTTCAAGTACTCCCTGAGCCCTATCTTAAAGAAGTTGTTTACCTCTCCCTACCTCTCAAATATCTTGCTTCCTTACATACCCCTGAGATACTGCCCCACCTACTTCTTTGATACCTTCTGAGAATGGTACTCTGGGTAGCCTTGGACAGGGATTGAGCATAACGTCCCCAGCAATATTCCACAGTAGCTCACCTTAACATCTCTGTCCCAACAGGAGATGTACTGATGATGGATGAACTTGGCTACATGTACTTCCGGGACCGGAGTGGAGACACATTTCGCTGGCGTGGGGAGAATGTCTCTACAACTGAGGTGGAAGGCGTCCTAAGCCGTGTTCTCGGCCAGACTGATGTGGCAGTTTATGGGGTGGATGTGCCAGGCAAGGAGCCCGGGTGGGACAGGATCTGGGTGAGAGTTGGGACAATGTGATGGGATGGGAAGTGATTTTAGGGAACCTTGGGAACTGAAAGGCCTGGAGAAGTCTAGGGGCCTGGGAATGTTCTCAGCAGATAACCCCATTGTAGGAGTGGAAGGCAAGGCTGGAATGGCTGCCATTGCTGACCCCCTTGCTACACTGGACCCCAATGCCCTGTACCAGGAGCTACAGAGAGTGCTTCCACCATACGCTCGGCCCATCTTCCTTCGCCTCCTGCCTCAAGTGGACACAACAGGTATATTCATCTTTTATTTCATTTCATACCATTTTGATTTCTCTAGCTCTAGGGCCTTGCCCTGCCTTGGGGGCCTCATTCCACATCACCCTTTGCTGGCTGGGTAGTTGTTTCCTACTTATCCCACAGGGACCTTCAAGATCCAAAAAACACGGCTTCAGCGGGAAGGATTTGACTTGCACCAGACGTCAGACCGACTCTTCTTCCTGGACCTGAAGCAAGGGAGATATATTCCCATGGATGAAAATGTCTACACTGGCATCTGCACAGGAGCCTTCTCTCTTTAACAGAGCTTGCTGCCCCATCCCTTACCCTCTTCTTCTCTGACAGTGATGGATGGAACTGAGGACATCCCCTAACTTGCCCTGGACCCAGCCAGTGTCCTTCTTCCCAAAGAATGGGGGGGGAGGGCATAAATTGTCCTAATGTCATTTATCAAAATTGCTTCCTGAGTCCTTCCCTGACCCTTCCCTCAGGTCCAGGGCTCTGGTTCAAGCAGGAGCTGAAGAGGATCAGGCAGAGGATCCTCAGGGTTGCTGGAGTATCTGAGGGTTGGGTTGCAACCAAGAGGCCCACAAGGTTCTGAACATTTCAGTCTAGTGGTTCCTTGAATGTTTCCCAAATGAAGGTTTGATACCCCATCCCAGGGTGCTGAGTGGTCTGCCTGGCTCTTCTCCCAGAGCTGGAGGGGACTCCTGACAAACAGGTTGTCTCTGGGGTGGTGGGGTGGGGTGGGGCAGGGTATGGGGAGCTGCCACAAAGCCCTGTCTTGTCTGGCCTGCTTCAGCCAGAATTGGTCAGCAAGGGTTATTTCTCAGCTTTTCTTTGCTCCTTAACTATAAACTGTCCCAGACAGGAGGGCTACAATGTCAATGCCTCTTTTGCACAGAGGGGACCATTCCTGCCTGTTTTATTGGTTGTGCCTTAAGGAACCCTCAGTCATTAAGTCACTGTGTTCCAGTACTTACTTTTAACCCAGTTTAAGCTTCAGGAGTGGACTTGCCTTCATTCCCTTACTCAGTGTTGTGAGTGATGGGGACAGTGCTCCTGTGGACAAGAGTGGACTGATCTGTGTGCTTAATCCAAGTTAACTGGAAATCTCACATATTTGATCTCTGACCTCCAGTGGAAGCCCCCAGCCCAGTCCTGCTGACAGTTACCATTCAGAAGCTCTTGCTTGGCCCTTCTGGTAGTAACTATGCAGATACCCCGGTAACGCCTTGCTGGTAGCCACCAACTGATGATCCAAGAGCTTCTCAGGCTGGTGATGAGTACATGCTATTTCTTGCAGGTGTTTTCAGGCATGGCAATTTTATTTTTTAGTTTGAGTTAAAAAAAAAATAAACTTGAGAACAAGCTCTGATGAAAAAGTTCAGGCCCGGGTATTGTGATATTAGAATACTCTTGGTTCTCGGTCACCGATGAGGACACGGAGGATCTGACGCGACAACCCATACGACCCGGAGGGGGCAGGGAAGGGGAGTGGTGGGGTGGGGAGGACTCTGTTCAGCGAGGGTCAGAGGAGGTAATTTCTGCGCCTTCTCATGACCTGCGCAGGCCGTTGCCCGTCAGCGTTGCAGGATGTGACCGCTCCGCTCGCCCCACAACGGGCCACGCTGGGACCGGCTCAACACAGGAACGAGCACCGCAACTGCTCCCTAAGAGGAGAAGTCAATGCCTGCGCCCGCCCGCGGAGCCGCAACTAATGCGGAAGCGTTTGCCCGTCCACTTCCGCCCGGACTGGCCCCATTTCCGCCCGGGCGCCGAGGCCGCGCCCCACGCCGCGCGCCGTCGGCTTCCCTCCCCGCACCCCCGCCGCCGCTGCCGCCGTCACCGCCGCGATGCCGGGGTCAGGCTCCCGCCTCATTTCGGTGTTCCCGAGCCCCCAGGAGCTGGGCGTGTCGCTGGCGCAACTGGTGGTGCAGCGGGCGGCGCAGAGCCGGGCCGGGGCCGGGGGCGCCGGGGATGGGGCTCGCTTCACACTCGGGCTCTCGGGCGGGAGCCTGGTCCAGCTGCTGGCCCAAGAGCTGCCCGCGGCCGCCGCCCCCTCCGGGCCCGCCGCCCCCGCGCACTGGACGCTGGGATTCTGCGACGAGCGCCTCGTGCCCTTCGACCACGCGGACAGCACGTTCGGCCTGTACCGGGTGCGGGGCGGAGGGAGGGCATCGGGGAAGGGGCCTGGCCCGAGGGGGATGGCGACCTCATTACAAAGGGGGCGGGGCCCGGGGGCTCTTGCCTTAGGGCTGTGTGGCGTCCCGGGACGCGGGTGTGGGGATGTCAGGAGCCCCGGTGGTAAAAACGGGGCTTGGGTTACAAGGAGCCTTCCTGATGGCCACGTGGGGTCTAAGGGGCCCCGGTCCCATGAAATCCAGGGTGCAGCTAGGGCAGTGAATAAAAAGGCATTTATTAAATGCTTACTGTGTGTCAAGCACTTTGCTAAGCGCTGCAGATACAAATTTCAGGGTGAGAGAGCCCCTGCCCTCAAGGAGCTTACATTGTCATCAAGGGAGACAACACACGTTGAGGAGTGGTAGCCAGGGATGTGAGCATCTGGGGCGTCAGCCAGTCAATCAACACACTGTTATTAAGCTCGGAATCACTGGGACAGTCATTCGACACTCCCTTTCCAGGCAGTGGGGTAGCATGGTGACTTGATTTGATTACTGACTCTGTAGCTAGAGTCGGGGAGTAGGTCATGCACGAAGGTTGATGGCAAGATGCGTGGGTGGAGTGTGGAGCACAGATGGTCCTGGCCATCTAGATACGGTGGACTAATCGAATTTGTTTGCCAAACAAGGCAACTCCACTCAGAGGAAGAGTTCCAAAGCTGAGCAGGTTAATTTTCGCAGGAACTTGGGGCATTTTTTTTTTCTGTCTGATCCAGAGGTGTTGTTCCTGGTCATAAGGTGCCCTGGTTATAAAAAGGGTAGAGTTATGCTCTCTAGTGTTGCCTGGTCATAAGGAACAAGATGTGGGATCTGGGGGTGGCTTTATTAAAATAGGGATGTGGGATCTGAGTTTTTTTCCTGGACCTAAGGAGCTATGGTGCCTGGTTATAATGAAGAAAATCATTCTTCTCCTTATAAGGGTGATATTCTCAATATAACTAGCCATACCTGAAATCTTACCAGTACAGCTGAACAGGAGTGGATGCTGTCCTGCGACCATGCCAACACTTCAACAGGGAGGGGAGCACTTGTTATTATTATAAGAAACCCAAACTTTTGGGAGCCAGGTTCAATGAAAACAGTTCCCCAGTATGCCCTAACTAGTACTAATCTTGCCACCCAAACTAGTACTAATCTTCTGGTCTGAATCTATTTCTGCAGTTGGTTTCATGCTTGGGTATTACTTTTAATGTTTGTTCACTGAAATCCCGATTCATTGAGGGACCAGCACTCTGTACATCCCAGCTTGTACTCATTGACCATGTTCTGGCAGGATATGATGCTGTTGTCAGGCTCGCAAAATGACAGTCTGCTGCTGAGTACAGGAAAATTTATCTGACCATATTGCAGAAGTCTCATGGGGCTTTTAGGGACTGAGCTGTGGTGGCAATTGACCCAGACTTGTGCTCGAAGTCATGTTTATGATTCTGAAGGCTTCAGACTTTCAATTTATGTTGTAATCAGTTGGTGCCCTTGGCCCCAGATCTTTTGCTGGGTAAATAGGACACCTGCTAAGCTTGTTAGTCAAGTGTTAATTAGACTTCTCCAATTTAGGATCGCACATGGTGGAAGGTAGCCTCTCTGATAGCCTGTCTTGTGGGGCAGATTGTCTATTGAGCCGACCTTTCCCTTACTGAAAATAGCACCATATTGGACTGTGTATGTATAAGACTTCCTTTGGGAGCTCAAGGAGACTTTAGACACTCTGCTTAGCAGAGGTTTTTAACCAGTAGATTTGTTGGCTCCAGAATGAACTAGGAACCGTGTTAGACATAATACGTGTCAGGACCTGATATGTAATGTCCCTTCCCAAATGGATCACTTTTCAGAGAGTTTGCCTGACTTGCCTGTGGTGAATTAGCCTGGATGGGAAAGACTACCATCCTACCTGGGGTTATCTAGGGAGAAGGGGTATTTGACACTACTATTGTTGAGTTGTTTCAGTTGTGTCTGATTCTTTGTGACCTCATTTGGGGTTTTCTTGGGAGAGATACTGGAGTGGTTTGCCATTTCTTTCTGCAGCTCATTTTACAGATGAAGAAACTGAAGCAAACAGGGTTAAGTGACTTGCCCAAGGTCACATACCTCATAAGTGTCTGAAGTGAGATTTGACCTCAGGTCCTCCTGATGCTAGGGCTGGTTCTCTATCCACTGCACCACCTTGCTGCACTTTGTTTCTCTTTACTCTTGTGTTTGTATTCCTTTGTGACTCCTTGACACTACTGACTACCTCCTAGATCAGAAAAGTCCTTAACTTTTTTGTGCCATGCACTTCTTCAACAGTCTGGTAAAGACCATGAACCCCTCCTCAGAATCATATTTTTATATAGGTAAAATAAAATGTGAAGGATTACAAAGGAAACAAAAGGTTATTGAAGATAAAGATGAGATTTATTTCCCATCTGCATTAATGGAACCCCTGAAATCTATCCATGGAACCCCCTTCTTCGATGCATCCTCCCCTCTAGGCTGTCTTTACCTTGTCTTTTCTTGGCTCTTCTACCTGTCCAGATGTTCCCTTTTCAATCTCCTTTGCTGATTTTATCTTCCAAGTCTACTAACTGTGGCTCTCTCTCTTGGTGACCTCAGCACTCGTGGATTCAGTTACTATTCTATGCAGGCGACTCCCAGATTTATGCATTCAGCTTTAGTCTCTCTCTTGGGCTCTAGTCCTGAGCATCACCGACTTACTGTCTGTTGGATATTTCCACATAGGAATCCCAAACTCAGTGAGTCCAAAATAGAACTCATTTGTCTTTCTGCACCAAACCCATCCCTCTTCTTACCTTTCCTATGACAGTCGGGGTACCACCATCCTTGTAATTAGCCAGATTTGAAACCTTGAGTCCTCACTTTTACTCATTTTGTAGACCCAGTCAGCTACCAAATCTTGTCATTTCCACCTACAGTACATCTCACCTGTATATCTCCTCTTCTGCACTTACAACTGCCACCCTGGTTCGGGCCCTCACTGCTTCTCGCCAGGACTAGGTCTCCCCATTGCAATCCATCTTCTACACCAAAAGCTGCCAAGGTGATTTTCCTAAAGCGTGTGTCTGATCATGTTACCCAGCAGTGCCCTACAGCCCCTAGGATCAAATAGAGGCTCCTGATGACATTTAAATCTCTTTTCTCCGTAGTTCTCTCCCATCTTTCCAGTCTTCGTGCATATCACTTCTCCCTTCACACTGTAATCCATGCATACTGGACTACTTACTGTGCCACACAGGACACTCCATCTCCTTTCTTTGCACTGGTGTCCCCTGTATGGATCTGGAACAGTCTCCCTTCTCACCTCTGCCTCTTGGAATCCCTGGTTTCCTTCAGGACTTGTGTGCCGGTGGCATTCTACACGAAGGCCTACCCCTCGGGTGCTAGCTTCCCCACACTACTTTGTATTTATTTTTATACTAATGTTAACACGTATGTAAGTGATATGTGTTCATGTGGTTTCCCCCAAGCTCTTTGTGGACAGGGACCACATTTTCACTTTTGTCTTTATATGACCAATGCACATTCTACCACCTGGCATATTGTATGTGCTTAATAAATACTTGTTGATTGATCTGCTCACTGACCAAGCCTGAGATAGCACTGCAGGATTTTTTTTAGAAAAGAATTGAAAAGAGGGGTTCATCTTTCCAGTGGGGAATTCTGGTGCTGCTCGTTAAAAAGACAAATGGGGAATTGTGACTCCCAAAGCTGAGAAGCCCGAACATCATCCAGGTTCTATTGGCCCTTACCTGATGCACCAATCAAAACAGGTGGTGATCTTCACTGGATTGGAGCTGGAGTCTTTGTGAGGGGGTATTGCTTTTGAGACTGTGTAGTAATTGAACCACCACCACCACCAACAACCTGTGTGAATGTCAAGACGCCATTTGGTTACTGTCAGGTCTTTTTTGAAGAGGGTGTATCTGACCACCTGCCTAAATATTATCATCTGATTTGAATAATTGGAACTGGGTTGTAAATTAACAATAAATAGCCTTAACCCTAACTAGTGGCATATACAAACTAATTTTAACAATTGTTGATGCTTATTTTATTTTTATCAATTTTTTTGTTGGTTGTATAGTGCATAGAACACTGGGCCTACAGTCAGGAAGACCTGAGATGAAATCCAGCCTCAGACACTTACTAGCTGTGTGACCCTGGACAAGTCACTGAACTGCCTCAGTTTTCTCTACTGTAAAATGGAG